GCAAGAAGGGGCTGGAAAGAAATATTCCAAGTCATGAAAGACAAGGACCTACATCCCAGATTGCTCTATCCAGCAAAGCTCTCATTTAGAATGGAAGGGCAGATAAAGTGCTTTTCAGATAAGGTCAAGTTAAAGGAGTTCTTCATCACCAAGCCCTTATTTTATGAAATGCTAAAGGGACTTATTCTAAAAAAAAAGAAGATAAAGAAAAAGACATGTATAGTAAAAGGACAGCAAACTCACAATTATTAACAACCACACCTAAAGCAAAACCAAAAGAAACTAAGTAAACAATTAGAACAGGAACAGAACCACAGAAATGGAGGGCACATGGAGGGTTAGCAGCAGGGGGGGTGGGAGGAGGAGAGGGGGGAAAAGGTACAGAGAATAAGTAGCATAGAATGTAGGTTGAAAATAGATAGGGGGAGGGCAAGAATAGTACGGGAAATGTAGAAGCTAAAGAACTCATAAGTATGACACATGGACATGAACTAAAGAGGGGAAACATGGGTGGGAGAGGGGGTACAGGGTGGAAGGGAGAGAAGGGGGGAAATGGGACAACTGTAATAGCATAATCAATAAAATATATTTAAAAAAATCTTAAATGCTTTACATTTCAGAAATGTACCTATAATTTTCACTCACTATATTTCACAGTATGTTGGTTTCTCTTGCCCTTTCTGCTCAATTCTAAAAACAAAGAAACACAGGTACATATACATTTTTTTATTAAATCTGAAAATATTTTATTAAAACAAACTCACTTTTGGCATAATAATACACGCAGAGAATTGCTAGACAGGATTACTGGCAGTCTGACTTAACCTTAAAATAGGGCACTGGTCCCACCAAGTGACACCTGGAGCAGGTGTTGGAGAAACTTGACCTCTTTCAACCATATGCACCTTTCCCCCTCCACCACTTCCTGCCTCTCCCGCCACACTGCAAGCCCTCTTTTTCTTTCTCTTGTTCTTGTCTTTCATTTTCCTTCCTTTAGTGCCCATAAATTTTTATCACTACCACTAACAGCACTAAAGCTAACACAGTTGCCAACCCAGAGTCCAGAAATACAGGGTCCAGCAGAAGTAAGGTCTGCTTGAGCGTGGTTGGGAGGGTAATATATGGGTGTAATAATTTATAGTTTTAATTTGAATATTTCACCTAAAATGTTATATGGTATGCCTGAGTATGATATTGTTATGTTACAGAATTACATGCCTATGATTTTGTAATAGAAGATTTTGTAATAAAAAGGGGGCATTATTTGTGCCAGAACCTGTAAAATGGATATAATTATAATTGGAGTCTTAATTTTTGGTTGTCCCCCCAAAACAAGTTAACTATATTGTGTCAGTTGTCCAATCCATTGAAAAGAAAAAATAAACAGCTATGTGAAGAACAAACCTAGAGTTCTTCTCAGCTCTAGCAGTCTAACACAGATTATACACACAAAGTTCAGAATCATGATCTGCAGATGCAGGTTTATGAATGACCAAAAAAGATGGGGCAGGGGGAACTAGAGACAATGTTTGGTACCGTCTGAAGTTTAGAGTCATGTTAAGTTAGTTATTAAAAAACAGGAAGGGTTAAGTAGAGAAGATGAAAAGAAACCAAGGCTAGGATCAAAATTAAAGAACTCCAGCACTAGGTATCACAGTTCTGGGAAATTTTTAAGGGTTCCATAATCTTTATGGGAAAGGTAAATAATTATGCTCCTACCACAATCCCTTTCCTCAAGTCAAGTGCTCTTGAAATTAAGCTTTGATGCTGCATTCTCTTTATATAATCCTACTTGCTCTACGCATTCATCAAAGAAAATTTCATGGATTTCTTTCTCTCTTTATCTCTATGGCTAATGGTATCCTTACCTTCTCTGTTTAATTTTACAAAAAGGAAGCAAGAGACAATTTATCCCTTGCAGTATACTTGCAGGCAAGGGAAGGGGTGGGGGTGAGCACAGCACAGGTGTTCTACTAGGCTGCAAGAGGCAACAGAAACACTTAAAAAGCTCAGAGTGCTAAAGCTGGATAAAATAAATATGTGTAATATGGCACATAAAAAGTGATTTTATAAAGACAAGTTCATTTATCCTACCTAGCCTCATGTCCCAACACTAAAATAATACAGGGTCTTGTGGCTGCCTAAACAGTCTTTACATCTCTTTGCTATCATGTCCTCCTACTGCTTGTTGGCCTGAAAAACTCCCACTCACCCTTCAAGTCTAAGCTCAAACACTACCACCTCCAGGGAAAGCTTCTTTGATCCTCCCAAACCCGTGCTCCCTTCCCTTATGCGCTCCACTCGCTGTTCCTTCATTATAACTGCAATATGCTAGTGCAATTATTTCTATACCTGTGAGTGTGGCCTGCCTGCTTTCTGAGGGAGCACTGTGTCTTTCCACCACTGCATCTCCTGGCACACAGGACGTACCCTAAGTCCCAATACCCATCAACCCAAGTCTCTTCTTTCCCATCCCACCTAGTTTAGAACCTCATTACCTATTTCCTAGATAATTTAAACTAGTCTCTTCATTGGTCTTCCAATTTCTGGGCCCTCCTCCCTTGAATCCATTCCACATACACTACTGCCACTGTAATCTTACTAAATTACAACTTTAATTAAATGTGCCAGGTTGTGCAGCTGAAGATGTAGAGAATGAAAAGCTGAAAAATACCTGTTTTCTAAGTTCAACGAACTCAAATGCAATAGGGCAGAGAGAAAAGTAAATAATTAAGTAAAAAAGTAAATAATTTATCAGGTGATATAGAGGTATACCCAAGTCATGCTAATTCCTTGGCCTGGCATGTCCTTCACTCTTAAATGGTCAATTCATATTTCACTTGCTATAGGAAGCCTTCCTAATCTCTCCAGCCAGAAGCAATCTCTCCCTCCTCTGCTCCCACAGTACCCTGTTACTCACTTATCACTTTCTACTTGAATTTGTACTCACATATTATGTCTCTTACTGGATGAAACCTTTCTAAATGAAGGGGCAATATATTTTATTTGTCTCTATTTTGCCATGGTACCTAACACAGTACCATGCAAATTGGTGATAAATGTTGAATTATGATGGTTAACCTCACTAAAACATTATGAGACTGTGATATCAATGGGTCAAATACATGCAATTCAAGACTGAAATTTTTTCACTCTAGCCACTAAAATAGGAAAAAGTCTATTCTGTTTCACTAGATGATAGTGCACACATGGAGAATATCCTCAACCAGATTAGAAAGATGTGTCCAAATGAAATGGACCTGTTGAGAAAACATAACAAAGGGTAACTCCCTCGTGCTGTGAACCAGGCAGCCAGCCTCTGCTGACAAACACAGAAAAATGACGAAGCGCAAACATGATGTGGTGTTTCCATAATGGGAGCCAATCAATGGGCAACTGTTTAGCTACGTCAAAATGTCCACAGCTTAGTAAAAATTAAATTCATTAAAACAAGACACTGGCACAAGAAAATATTTCAAAAATGGCTCACAAACATGCATAATACAACTTTCCAGAGGTGAATACTTACAGCTTTTATACATACTTTAAAGTCTACACTCACTTTCCTGTAACAGTGCTACTATAAGATACCTTAACAAGTCTTTATTAGGATCCCCATTTCTTTAATTTCACTTTCGAAGTTGTCTGTCCTCTTTCCACCCATTCCTTCATCATAATTGTTTTAGTTAAATGCAACAGTTGTGTGCAGAATAAGGTAGAGTAACTTAACTATCATTCACTGAATCACAAGAATTGAAGGCTTTTAACATTTCATGAAATGTTCATGAAGACTTTAACATTTCACAAAATGCAGCACTAAAATTCCAACCTCTCAATTTTGGCTAAAAACAAAGCTCAAAACTCAAAACTCAAAACTGTAACACCTTTTAAGAAAATTCTGTGCTATAGATATGTATCTGCTCCTAATTGGCTTGAAAGAAGTCAGAACATCTGATTATATCATTCATTTCAACATTAAAATTGCTGAGGGCAAAAACTGTGTCTCATCAACTAACTCTGTGGAGTCCTTAGTTAACTGCCTGTAGCAATTTTTAATCTAAAGACCTGAGTTTAAGTGTGCAATTAGAATTAAGTAAGAAGATGTATACAAATGCTTTATAAAACTCTAAAGCAGGCCCTGGCTGGCTGTAGCTCAGTGGATTGAGTGCAGGCTGTGAAGCAAAGTGTTGCAGGATCGATCCCCAGTCAGGGTACATGGCTGGGTTGCAGGCCATGGCCCCCAGCAATAGCACATTGATGTTTCTCTCTCTTTCTCCCTCCCTTCCCTCTCTAAAAATAAATAAATAAAATCTTAAAAAAAAAAACTTCTAAAGCACAAAGCAAATAAGGTATTACTAGTATTATTTTACAATAAACTCTCTCCAAGATCAAGTTCTCCTCTACAGGAAATCTAAATAGAGCCGAATTATTTCTGTATATCTTTCCCAAGAGAATTTATGTGTGACAAGCAAAACTATAAATAACTCCTAAAAAAAGGGGGAGAAGGAAAAAAGATAACTCAGGTAAGACTAAAAGAAGAAAGTGTTGTAAGTGAAAAGCAAAGGGGAAGTTTTTGTAATAATAAAAAAAAGCAATAAGAGAAAGCAAACCTAGATCTCAGAGATCAATTTCTAACTCTTTTACTTACTATCTATATATGTGACCCTCTCTGGTCACTTCACTTGGCTAGTCTCCAGTTTCCTCATTTTTAAGTAGAAACAATACCCCATAGGGTTGCTGTGGGGGTAATATTTATATAAAGTACTTAGCACTATGTCTGGTACATAATAAGTGATAAGAAAATGCTTACCATTCTTGATTGAATTACTATTACACCTCTACCCTAACTGGTGACATTCAGGAAGAAAAGGAGCCAAAAACATGACAAAGGGGAAGATAACATACAGAGAACTAAGTTTACATATTACCATTGAGAGAAAAAGTTTGAGAAACATAGATTGCACAAAGCATTTTTCATATTCAATGTCCAAATTACTTACTGTGTCTCCAGGATTGCTGAAGAATCTAAAGAACCGAAGCCAATATCTCCAAGTCATAAAAGCAGAATAGCAATGACTGTGAAGGAGAACAGGACCAAACAATTAAAATAAAATTTTAAAAATGTGCTTATTGATATATAGAGAAGTTTCTCTGTTTCCAAACTTTCAATTTTCTAAATTTGCATAGACAGAATGAAACCTAGGCCCCACAGCAAAGGCACAACTCTACTTGCCAAAAATGGATGGTATTAGCAATCGTGCACAGCCATTTAAGTTTCTGCCATCTCATTCTTTAACCTGGGGAAGTTGTATTTGGGGTTGATTTTGAGGTGTTAAATATTATTAACTCCATCACAGTAAGTAGATGCAAAAGCAGTAAGTGTTCCAAAATTAGGAAGAACAAAATACTCTCCTGAATCAGATATAGAGAGAGCAAATAATTGTAAAAGGTAAGAAAACAATGGATGCTCCCTGTGCATAAGAGATCAGAGACTTATATACTGTAACATGAAAAATTCCTACACGGAATCAATAAGAAGCAGCAAAAGACAAGGAAAACAGCCAGAGAATCAACATAAGTTCCGGCTGTCAACTGGTCTAGTGTTGATTAAGGGGATGGTAAGGAGCATAAGAATTTAAAAGCTGAGCATAGTACAAGTGCTATTATCATAAGCTACAGATGAATTGTCAAAGTTTGATGCAAAGTTCCAACTTTTTTGGACTTACACAACACCGACGTGAATGGTCAGCTATATGGCATTTAACAAAGGTCTTCCTGAAAACTGGTGCAGAGACCACCTAAGGTGGGGGGCTTCCTGTCAGATTTTCAATGTAGACAAAACTAGTCTATTACAGGAAACGATGCCCCTCAAGTTCTATCAGCAAGGAGTTGAGAGGGTATGTCTGGCTTTCTTTTTACTAAGAATAGCTGTTCAAAACCCAACCTGTACTTAGAGGAACACACAACTTTCTTATAATAAAGCCTAGTTGACTTATAAACATCTCCATGAAATTACGGGCTCAGATCCTGAAGGTTTTGTCAGTCAGCATGGTAAATGCAAAAAATATCCCATCGCCTATTAATGTAAACTGAGTATAAAAATATTTTTTAAAATTTTGTTTTTGCCACTTTTATCTTATTATAATAATATGAATATATGAGCTTTACATCCTGGCTTTGGTTCTGCTACTTTTCCCATTAGGTTTTAAGCTCATCTACCATAAACTATCCTACTCTGAGAGTTTTCTAGAACTACCCCACTCAGACCAGGAAAGAGCACTTACGTTCATTCATAGACTGTGCCTCTGGAGCTCTACCTAAAACTGAGTCAAACAGAGCACTGACAAAGAGCTGAAGGGTCCGCATCTGGCTGGACAGGTAGGGATGGGCAGCACCCCTACCACTGCCTACATGCACTTTTTCTCCTAATCTTTAAATCCACTTGAGTTTATTGTGATGTCAACACTTAGATAACCAAGAACAAATGTGAACTATTCCTGAAACTTCATCAATACAATCAACTGAACCATTCATTCGACAAAGCAGCATTCATTGAGTAGGCCGATGCTAGGCACAGTGCATTTCTATAGCACCTTTTATTTCACAATCCCAAAGAGCTTTCAAGTTGCCCTAATATAAAGTATCAGTGATTGAATGTCTCTCAATTTATACATATACAACACTCTATTCAAAGTCTTGATTCTGATTCAGGCATTATAAATTTAGATGTTTATGGAAATAAAAACTAAAAGGGCTTAGACTGGCATTTGATCATTAAATAAATTCCAACTTCACAATTCAATCCAAAAAATACCCAGTGCCAAGTGAGTTTTAAAAATACAAGCCAAAATATATTATTCAAAATTCCATTAAGCAAAGGAGTTAATATAGTTTTAACTTATTTCTAAATCTTTATGTGTATGCTACTAGGTAGTAAGTCAAACTTATCAAAAGTTCCACTCACTGGTTACCTTTAAGAGCAACTTCCAAAAACTGATTAAACATCTAACATGCCAAAAACAACTTACTGACCTGGGTTTTCATTATTTTGGAGCTCTTTCTAGAAAATCGATAGCTAAATTTAGGTGTCAGAAAAATGTACTTTCCCAAATCAATTAGTTGAAACTACAGACCTGAGAATGATCATCAAGAATGGGAGAGAAAATAAGGAGAACGATTAAGCACAGGGATACAGATATAAAAGCCAGAAAGCCTCCTATCATTTTCTAGCTATTGACCTTGGTACTTCATGTACTCTATCTGCAAAATGAGAATAATACAAATATCTACTTCATGTGCTTGTTACAAGGCTTAAATCCAGGTAAGTTAATACATGTAAGGGTTTATCAAGCAAGTAGCATTATATGAAGTGTTTGCTTATGATGATTATATGATTATATTATCTAAATCATCTACACAAATGCCTTTCCCTACTCACAGCCCTCTTTATTTGGTCTAGTGGAATTTAATCCCTCTCTCCTTGACTTCTCCACAAAATGCATTGTGCATTTTAGTTATTTAGATATAATTCCCTCCCATTAGATTATATCTCCTTGAAAATAGAGACCACATCTGAGTGTGATGGGCAGCAAATATTGTCCATCGATGCCTTTCATTTCTTTCTGTAAAGGTTCTGAATAATAATATCCTGTTAATAAGCAAACCTTTACTTAGAGACAGGAGCTTTCTGTTACCAGTGCACTTAACTATTGGTCACACTTTGAGAAGTATTCTCTTAAAGCAAACAAAAATGTGGGGGGTGGGGAAGGAGAAGAGGAAAGAATGATTCACTTAATATTTTTAAACTACTGATCAAAATGTCTTTTAAGATTAGTTTATTTTTTAAATATATTATGTTTTAAAGCTTATTTTCATTACCTCCTTCCAAAAGCCCATGGTGTTTCTAATATAAAAATACAGTAGCATAATTTCTGCATATGTCAAGTATAACCTAATCATAACTTTGCCCATCTGCTGATTTAATGTAATCATGGGGATGCTGGATGACAATATGCTTGCTTGATTCACCCCACACTATATATGTAAAATAAAATCATTTTAACTATATGTCAAGATGTAGATCTGTCTGGCTTTGATTTGTGCCTCTTTCCTCTTAACAAAGAGCTGCACATGTGCACACCTCCGATTTACCCAGGATTACCTGATAAAGCACATTCTAAAGTATTATCCAACTTTAGTAACACAATGACGCTCTTACTTACAACAGAACATTTCTGAAAACAAATGCCAGAACTGAGTCTGTTGCTTTGTTACCATTTTCTATAAAGTATAACTTCCCCTTTGTTTTTATAATGTGCTACCTTCTGAAATAATTTCTCAGCATAAAAAACACTGAGAATACCTATTTACTTGCACAAATATTCCTAGTCTTAATTCTCTAACTAGGATTCTCTGAATTTGATTCTCAACTTTAAAACAAACATAAAAACAAAAGACTAAAGAGTAATTGCACCCATTTGACATGGTTTTTCTAATTTTTTTCATCCCTCAATGGCAGGGCTTTTCAAAGGAGTACAAAAAGTACACCCTATTTGTTTCTCTAAACACATCCCAACCAATGGGAAACATTATCAGCCATCTTAAGGAAAAGAATGCAAAGTGAAAAAGGCTAAGACAGACCAAACTACAAATATTTTTATTTATTGTACTACTTTTCAGAACAGAATTTTTCACATAAAAGTACTTTGATGAACCTATGCAATAAACAAAAGTCATCATAATTTAACAACATATTTTCGACTACTTTCCCTCCCTTCAAAAAGTCACAAGAATGGCTAATTCACATACAATACCTTTCAGCTACTGGGTAGAGAGTAAAATAAACTTAATTGTTTTATACATCCTGAGGTATACAAAGAGCAAATTAAACACCAAGAGATTTCCATTACCTTAAATACACATATATGATTGAGAATGAACTTTCAAAAACCTTCACTGAGCCCTGGCTGGCGCAGCTCAGTAGATTGAGCGCGGGCTGCGAACCAAAGTGTCGCAGGTTCTATTCCCAGTCAGAGTACATGCCTGGGTTTCAAGCCATGACCCCCATGACCGCACATTGATGTTTCTCTCTCTATCTCCCTCCCTTCTCTCTCTAAAAAATAAATAAAATCTTTAAAAAACAACAACAACAACAACAAAAAACCTTCACTGGATAAGTAAAATGGCTTTAAACACAGACCCTGCCTTTAAAGTAGTGACCTGACAAGTTTAAGCCCCCACTCCATCGCAACCTCCAAAAAGTATGGTCTCACTTGTCAATTACCATCTTACAAGGAGGCACAAACTAAAGCACTTAAAGTTGTTTCCTCGGATTTTACCCGTAATAAAGCTAATACTCAGGCCTTTTCCAAGCAATTGGCTTCTAGCAAAACTTATCAGAAGTTATGTGAAATAGACAAGAACGTTGGTTCTGCATTTTATCAAGCGAAGAACAGAACCACACTTTTGGACTAGCCCCCATTACTTCCAGCACCACCAGCTCAACCCCGCCCCCCCCCCCATTTCTTTTTGTATCTTTCCTCTAAACTTACAACCCGAAAAGCGATCCACAAAAGCAGCATCAGTAAACGGGAGGCCACTGGTTTTGAAAATAAAGTTTGCTCTGCTGCTGTCAACCTGACAACTTTCTAAAGGTGAAATGTCTTCTGCTTAATCGGGGACAATCCTTCTTATTCGCGAACGACTACTCGTTTGTCCGCAATAGTAAAGGTGCAAAAAGGAAGTGGGAGAAAATGATGTCCAAAGAAGGGTCAACGGTTCCAGTGGTAAGGACCGATTTTGAGAACTCCGTGGCTTCTGGGAGCTGGGCGGCTTTACTGTGTCTGAAAAATGTTTAGCAATCTGACGCATCAGTTTTTAGGAATGGTACACAAATAGCCCCCACAATTTAAGAGCCATGCCTAGAATCCTTCCCTCAGTGACATCGGCCAGAGGGCAAGGGACAGGAGAGCGGGAGATACGAGGAGAGGATCCACGACATTTGTTATTGTTTACCAAGCCCAGGCAGGGACTGGGAGCCGGGCGCTCGAGGGCCGACGAGTGGAAGGGTGAGAGGAGCAAGCAAGAACAAAGATTCCTCCCCAGGCTCGAGGCTACCTCTCCAGACTCACGGGGCCAGTATTACCCCGGGGAACAAGAGGGCCAAGGCCGTGGTCGAAGCTTCACCAGAGCTATTACCAGCCCCGAAATAAGCCCGGCTTTCCCTGGACACCCAAAGACACACATGATCTCTTCCTTCTGCTCGCAGAGTTAGGGCAGGTGAGGCGAGCCCGGCCCCCCTCCCCGCCCTGGCTGCCGAGCGCCGCATCCGCGCACTCACCTGCCTCCGGTCGCGCCCGCGGCCGGCTCAGCCTCCGCACGGACCACAGCCGGCCCGGCGCCCGTCCTCTCCCTTCTGCCAGCTCCGCCTTCGCCCCGCCCCCGGGAGGTGGGACTAGCGGCCGCGCCGGAATCTCGGGGCAGCCTCCCTGAACTCTCGCGAGCCCTCCCTCCTCGGCTTCTCGATGGCTGGGCCGGTCCGTCTCGGTCCTGACGTCATACGCACCACAACCGGAAGTAGCCTTCTGTCGTCAATGCCGACCTCCTGCCCCACCCACCTCCGCCGGGTGAATTTTTGATTGGCTCTGGAACTGTAGACTGGAAAATCACCACTTGGCTCTTTCGTCAGACCGACCTCAGTTCCTTCTTTTCTACTCAGAGCTGGCTCAGGCTTCTCTGGTAAGTGGCCCAGTGTGTTATCACACAAGTAACATGTCCTGAATGTGGTCAGAGTTTTTTCCAAGACTTCACAACGTAATACAAAGTGTTAGAAATAGGAGTTGAGAAAGAAACATCCATAAACCCACACATTTTTCAGATTGGGAAGATATGGTCAACAAAGATGGATTGGCTGACCAAGTTGTTTTTCATCACTATCTATGGGATCTAGAAACCACCCTGGTTCCCTGACCCTTTTCCATTTCACATAGCTCACTTCTAGAGACTTGGGAGGGGCTCGGACTTGGGGGAAAAACACACAAAAATTTGATGGCAGGCATGAAAAATTTGCCTGCATTATCTTGGAAAATCTAAAATAACTGACAATACTGAGCTACTTTTTCATTAGGATCAGAGAACTACGAGAAAATCTCCCTGTAGTATGACACATCACTTCCTAAAGTGATGACTTTAGGAAGAGGATGTATTTGCGCTTTAGGAGAAAATTTATTGGGCAAAACAAATAAGAGAACTGTTCCTAATTATCGTTGACAAATTTATCTTTAATATGAATATTGGAAGTTTTATAAAGTACCGTTAGCTCTTAAACTACTAAAGAAATTCACAAAGCTGGTACTATACTTGCAAAAATATATATATACATGATTCAGAGATGCCAACTATTATCCTTAGTTTCAACAAGAGCAGGTGACCCATGTAGAAGATTTAGGGAGGAACCATGACATCACTTCTCTCTTTTTTATACTCTGTGCTTTTCCATACATAGCTAGGTAGAGGAAAAAGCACTAGTCTAGTGCTTTAGTATATTAGTCTATTAATCAGTATATTCTTGGGGAAATCAGTTCCACCTATATCATCTGATCATTTGGAGGCTCAAATAGCAATTGTATATACAACCGTAAGGAGGTCTAATTGTGATCCAACATGCTTGACAGAAGCCTATACATCTCCTGTGTGTGTACGCATACTAATTCAAGTGGGTAGAATTCAGAACAGTTTATGGAGTGTTCTGTAGCAAATTTGTGTAGTGTAGTCATAGCACAAGACTAATATGGACTAGTACAGGGTATCAGATTAGGATAATATGAAGTAGGCTAAACTTTGACCTCTGGTTTCTAAATTGAGGCCATTATAAACATATTCCCCCAAGAGGTTGTTGAAGGTGCCTGAACTGAAACAGATGTAGAGCCATGTGGACTATTGGAAGTTTGTTGAAATCTATGGGTCTTTTTTCAGAATTGTGTTCTTGAATGCAAAAAGTAAACTACCCAGGGCTGCAAAGGAAATTGATTATATTAATATACAGTTATCAAAATACTAAAAAGTAAATTTGCAATATGGATATGTAATATAGATAGAGTCATTCTAAAATGACTCCCAATAATCCTCACCTTCTGGTATTCCTGTCTTGTGCTGAGTGTACACTAGGCCTAGTGACTTGGTTCTGAAAAAGAGAGCCAAAGCGATGGGTTGTCACTTACATTATTAGGTTACAAAAAGCCTGGCTTCTATCTTGTTCACCCTCTCTTACTCTCTCACTTATTCTGATGGAAGCCAGCTGCCAGGCTGTGACCTGTCTTATGGAGAGGTCCATGTGAACTGACAATGGTGTCCAGTCAACAGTCACCAAGGAATTGAGTCACTCTGCCCAACAACCCATGAATATCCTGCCAACAGCCACATAAGTGAGCTTGGAAGTAGATTTTCCCCCAGTTGAGCCTTGACATGACTGCAGCCCCAGCTCATACCTTAATTGCAGCCTGTGAAAAGACTCTGAGCCAACAGATCCATGTCAGATTCCTAGCCCACAGAGACTGTGAGATAAATAATTGTTGTTTTAAGCCACTGATTTGGGGTACAATTTGTTACATAGCCATAGATAACTAGTAGTTATATACTTGATTCTTTATTAATGCATTTTATAACAAGATTAAGAGCTATAGAAATTTTGCTGTAGTGATGCACATAAATAGTATTTTCAGGTGTGCAACAACTTTTATGTGGTAGTAAGTATGTGTGATTTCTACTGGGGGCAAAGACACAGGTTGTTAATATTAGCTACATTCATAATGTAAGAAATGCTCATTTTCTATTTTGGTTTAGTGAAAATATATAAATATACATATATGTTAACATGTAAGTATATATACATTATATATGCTTTATATACATTATATGTAATATATATACACATATATACACTTTTTCATCAAAGTTCACAGACCCAGATTAAGAACCCTTGCCCTAAATAATAGACTATTCGTAGGGCCTTCCAAAACTCTTATTGGCAGTGTTTTCAGACAAAGAATTAAAGTTCAGGTAACAGATCTATATGATGGACATTGCTAACTTTATTAACCTGAAGTTGAGTATGAATGGCTATCTGCTATCTTTCATGCATTTCCTCTTCTTTAAATTTATGCTAACTATAGTTTGGTAAGCTAAAATTGTAAGCCAGAGAGTGAAAAAATTTATGGTGAAAACTTTTACAGCACTCAGAATTCATCTGACTTTTGTTTTCAGTGAAATTGTAAGCTCCTTGACCACAGGGATTTTTAGTATTACTTTCCCTCTCCTGGCCTATTAGAAATAACCAATAACAATGTCAATGCCAAATGACAGTAGTAAATGATAATAGAAGGAAATTACCAATAAAACCTTTCCACCAAGTGAGTAAAGTTGCTGTTCTATATATGCAACCTTACAACTTAGGATTCAGCCAAAACAGTATTTCGAAAGTAATTCATTGCATTGAATGCATTTAACAGAATACACAAAAATGTAAAAGCAAATGAAGCAAGCTCTCAACTCAGAAAACCTGAAAAAGAAAACAAAATAAATCCAAAGAAAGTAGAAGGATATAAAAATTAAAGCAGAATCCCCTCCAGAGGTCCATGGTTAAGTAAACCAAGTATTATAGATGAAATATGCAGTCACTCTATATATCACTCTGTTTTTCAAATAAATTTAAATTCTATTATGATTAACAAATTCAAATTCAATAGGGGATTTTTTTTAAAGACTCAATTTGACCAATAACAATCAAAGTCTGATTCTTTGAAAAGTCAAGGAAACTGGAAAAATTTTGGCAAGGCTAATCCAGGTTAAAAAAAAAAAAGACAAGACAAGACACAAGCAGTAAAAACGAAAATGGAGATGTGGAGAATTTTAAAGCATTAAAATTATAATTAAAAAAAGAGAGGCAACTATTGAGACAAGCTGGTTGAGCACTTCCTTCTGTATGAATAAAAGAGGAGCTAATACTTACTGAGTTCTTTCTGTGTACCAAGCATTCGGCTCCTTGCTTGTACCATCTCATTTAATCTTTACAATAAGCCTGTGAGTTAGGTATTATCCCCAGTTTATAGATGATGAAACAGACTCAGAGAGCTGGAATAACTTACTTAAGATTACCCCAATAGCAAGTGATAAAGCCTACCATCCAGATTCCAAATAGCAGGTAAAAGAAATGCTGAACAAGTACAAAAACATGGAATCTAGAGACAAAGAAACCAGTATGTTTGAAGCCACTTGCTTATTTACAACATATTCAATGAATGTTAGCTATTACTACTATTATGATAATCCCCATACTTTAAGTGGTCTTAAGACCACCCCTCAAATGTATGGATATATGGGCAGCAACATGCTTTCTAAGTTTATCCTAGCATCAATTATTAACTGCAAAAAGTTGAAACTAATCTAGATGAATAAAGATGGGGATTAGTATAAAAAATTATGGTGGATCCATACAATGTAATACCATGTATGTGTTAAAACTCATATGTAGGTAAGTGGTTAATGACATGGGGAGATGTTCAGAAGACATTGTTAGGAGTTCTTTTAAAGAAGGCTACCAATGGTATAAGATCTTTAGTATAAAAATTATTTGGCCCTGGCTGGCGTAGCTTAGTGGATTGAGCTTGGGCTGTGAACCAGGCATCGCAGGTTTGTTTCCCAGTCAGGGCACATGCCTAGGTTGCAGGCCACAACCCCCAGCAACCGCACATTGATGTTTCTCTCTCTCTTTCTCTCTCTTTCTCCTTCCCTTCCCTCTCTAAAAATAAATAAATAAAATCTTAAAAAATAAATAAAAATAAAAATTATTTGAAAACTATAAATGTGAGCATGTGTATATTCATAATACACATATTTGCTTATGTATTTGAAGACTGAAAAGAAAAACACTAAAATGAAGTTACTCTCAATGTGATTATGAACATAAAACCATTATGATGTACATTATTATGCCAGTAGACTTTCTCAGAAGAAAAGGAGAGAGAGGAAGAAAGAATAGGTGCTTTTCATGATCTTGGAAGGCTCTTCTAGTAGAAATCCATAAATATTTTTCCTATGGGAGAAATGTAAAGTTGATAGAAAAAAAATTAAATTGAATGGGCTTTTTCAGTTTAGCACTATCATGCTATACTCCTAGCTCTTCATAGCCATGAGTTTCTTTTTTTTTTTCAAATTACATTTAATAGATTAGGCTGTTACAGTTGCCTCAGTTTTTCCCCCTTTGTCCCCCTCCACCCAGCAACCCCCACTCCCTCAGGCAACTCTTCCAGCATCACTCATGCCCATGGGTCATGCGTGTAAATTCTTTGGCTACTCCATTTCCTATACAGTACTTTACATCCCCATAGCTAGTCTGTAACTACCTATTTGTACCTCTTAATCCCCTCACCTCTTCACCCATTCCCCCACATCCCCCTCCCAT